GTCAATATACACATTTTATAAATGAGAACATTAAAGTACAGAGAAGCCCTGAGCTTTGCTCAATCTGACTCACTGGAGCAGGGCTCCAGCCAGGACTGATGGTTTCGAAGCACACATGGCCTCCCCATGACTCCAGCCAGGTCCAGCTGACGCCTTCTCCATATGGTCTCAAGAACCATCTGGTGAGCTCTGTGCAGCCCCTCCACTGCTCTCCTGTGTCAAGGTGGCAGGGATACAGAGCCTCTGAACATCCCCCTGAGAAAGCTCAGGCTCCTTTCACTTGCTTTCTGATCTTAGGCTGTCTTCAGAGAACAGGGACAGGGAGCAGATGTCAGCCCATCATCACTCACTAAGAGCATGGCAATAGCCGAACAACTGTGCTCTCTTGTCTGGACCAACCCCCCTCCCATCCGTCGTCTGCACCAGTGCTAAAACGATCTTTATAAGATGCAAGTCTGGCCCGTTGGTTCCTTCTGAGGCCTGGGAGAGAAGAATCCGTTCCAGGCCTCTCTCTTGGCTTGTAGACGGCCGTCTTCGTGTTCATCTGGCATCTTCCCTGCATGTGTGTCTGCCTCCAAATTTCTCCTGTTTATGAGGACACCAGTCACTTTGGCTTCGGGCCCCCTAATGGCCATTTTAACTTGATTATCTCTGTCAAGTCCTTATCTTCAAACAAAGTCGCATTCTGTGGTGTAGATTAGTGGGGCAGGGGGCAGGGGAGGGACGTAGTCGGAACCGGAACACGGTCCCAGCCAGAAGCACCGACCTGTGTTCCCTGTTGTCTTGAGTCACAGCATCGGCAGCCCCGGGATCCCAGGCCCTACCCCGAGAGCTAAGCTGGAAATCAGACCTGGATTCTAGCCCAAGCGCTGTGGTCAGCTAGCCTGAGTGCTTTGGCCTTGAACTGTCCTCTTCCTTTTCTTACTTTTCTGAGCCTCTGATTCCAAAATGGCGGAAATAGGCCATTCTTCCTCGCCTACTTCACGGAGCCGCTGTGAGCCTCCAATAAAGGTGGTGAATATGACAGCAGCGTGAAAAACCAAGAGCCCCGCAAATATGAAGTAATAGCACTGTATCATTGTTATTACTACTAAGAATAAAGAAATCCTAGGACTAGAACAAGTCCCATCTTCACCCTGTGAAACTGAAGGAAAACGGTTTCATTTATAAAGTCGTCCCTTTTTATTCCTCCCAGAGGAAATCTCACGTTTCCCAGACTTCTCTTCCAATGAATTACAGCCCTCATTCACTCGGCAACCACCCTCACCAAACATGGTCCTCCGTGGGATGTCTCAGCTCACCTGATTTGATTCTCCCCTGGCGGGGAGATGGGGTCACTACCCAGGAGGCTGTGGTTGGCCCTTTCATTGAATCAGAAGACTGTTCCTGAGCTCCTGCCAGGTGCCAGGCTCTGGACTCAGTACCAGAGGCTCAGGGCTCAAAATGGCACCATCTTAACCTTTCTGTTGCTCACGGTCTAGAGGCCAGGAGTTCTCAGGGTGCATACCCTTCGCCCCAAGAAACATGCCCTTGCCCCATAACTGTTTCCTTGCACGGTTGTATTTCTTAGGCCATCACTGTCCTCATCTGCAGGTGACCCTGGGCTTCTTTGCTGAGAACTTTCCTGTCAAGCTAGGATGACTCGAGTAATGTTAATCAATTTCTTTTTTTTTTATGATTTTATTTATTTATTTATTTATTTATTTTACATAGAGCACAAGCAAAGGGAGCAGCAGGTAGAGGGAGAGGGAGAAGCAGGCTCCCCCACAGAGCAGGGAACCAGACATGGGGCTCGATTCCAGGACCCTGAGATCATGGCCTGAGCTGAAGGCAGATGCTTAACCTGCTGAGCCACCCAGGGGGCTCCATCACGTTAATCATTTTCCAATGACACCTTTGGTGCATCTCAGGGTTCTGCTACTGATAAGTGCTCAGCCAAAGGCTGCACCCCCAAGGTCTATGTGGAGAAGACCCTGATATCTTACTGTTAAAATGGGCATCTGTGATGTGACTCCACCGTCCGACCCAGTGCCCTGTGACAAGGACGAGGACGGTCTGGGGGCTGGCCTAGCTCTCAAAGTGAAGGATTCCTATTCTTTGGGTCATAGTCTATCATCTTCCCCCTAAGAGCCTGGTTAGTCTAGAGTTGCCCCGAGACCAAGTGCTTACTTCTTGCTTCCCCCCGGCCCTCCCCCTGCTCAACACCTCTGACAACCTCCCCACCTGGGCTTCCACATTCTCCCCACCTCCCCCACTTCATCCCTGCCGGCCTGCTTCCTCATGCGGACCCAGTGACCTCTAATTTAGCTCTGCAAATCTCTCCGAAGAACGTCCCCAATTTTCATATGTGGATAACTATCTAATTCTCACTTCACTGTTTCTCCAACCTGCTCATTCTTGCAAAGATCCCAGTGGCTTCTCCCCACTTCTCGGTGAGGACTCAGCCGGAGAGCACTCTCACTCAATACATTTCTGCAGTGTGCTTATTAGCGCCTTGTAATATAGCTGCCTCAATAATTAAGACTAACCCACACGTGTCAAATTAAATGAGCCAAATACATTGAGAAATTGCCTCGTCCTCCATTCCTTTTATTAATCAGGTTTTTAAAGTTCTTTTCCTACTCATTTGCAAAAATCAAACATGGTCAGTGAGACTTTTACTTATAATGATGATGCATTTGGCCTCTTTCCTCAGGGCAGTTGCCTCGGGGGCAACCCATTATGTGACATAGGATGGGTTGAGTTGGGGTGGCAGAGATGCAGATGAGCTGCTGGCAACAGGTTGACAATGCTCTCTAAACCCGTAGGAGGATCATGCCCCATTCTCCTCCCTGAGGGCTTATGGGAGGGTCCAACAAAACCAACGGGAGCATCTGGCCTGAATCCATCCAGCATCTTCTCTCCCCCCCCCCCCCCACTCCTCTGTGCTTCCCTGGGCTCAGTGCAGGAACCCTGGCTCCTCTTCTCAGGAGTCGCTGCCCACGTGCTGGGCATAAGGAGTCAACAGAAAATAAAATAAGACCCGTCAGCAGTTGTATGGTTCTGGCGATGCACAATGCTCGTGCAATTATAATGGACTGGTTGGCTCTGCCGGGTGTCAGCGTGTGGAGGCTTCTGGACAGTCTCAGAGTCTCAGGCAAGAGGCTATTGTTCCGGGGAGCTCTGGGCCTCCTCACCACCTGCGCCTCTGCCAGCCCCCTCCAGCAGGCTGCATTCCTGCCTCTTGAAGGTGGTTGTTAGAAAGAATCCACAAATACAGTAAGTAAACATCAAAGGGGCTTTGATCCGCCGGGCCCTCGACAGAGCAGGAGCCCTTGAAGAAGGGGCCAAGGCCTCGGATGAGGGAACTTAACATCATCAATTTGGGCGCCGGAGATGTAAAGCTGTTTGAAGTGAGGTTGGCTTGGCCGCGCCTTCAGACGAGCGCACAGAGAGGACGGGAGAGAAGTGAGCGCCTTTGGAAAAGGCACGCTCAGATCTGCTTCTCTGCTCTTTACTGATAGTTAATAAACCCCTTTAAAGAATCGGGAGATCAAAGCTTAGCAACCTCCCAGGCCGTGGCATTCTGCTACCGGCCGCCACGCTTTGTTTTTCTCTAGGGCAAGAGCCCCTAAGCTTGACTTATCTGCCTCTCATGGGCCCTTTCATCCTGCAATCCATGAAGGGTGGACCCGGGTGACAAGAGGTGCACAGAGACGTGGGGAGGAGAAATGAGCCCGCTGGGCTGCCTCAGCTCCGACAGCCTAGATGCTCACCGGCCAGGGCTCAGAGAAAAACACCCAGTGTCTCGGGAGGAGTTGCTGGGATGCACCACCCAGGGTGGTTCTCCCCTGAGGACCCCGTGGAGGGAGCCCCTGGGTGCCCAGATAGCCTGGCAAGCCCTGGGAGGGGATGCAGTCACATGTCCTCTTCCCGAAATCCTAACCCCTTGTCTATTCACCAAGGTGAAAGCAGCTGTCAGGTTTGTATGAGTCCTAAGCAACGAAGTAGGGGCAGGGAGTCTATAAAAATTCCCCGGAAGTCATTTAGTGTCTTTGAATTTGGGATTTCTCATCTGCATAGTATGAATAGCAGTTACCTGTCTGCAGGCCTCAGGGGCTGCCGTGGGGGTCAGCAGAGGGATTTGGTATAGAATGACTTCACAACCTCTGAGGCAGATGTAACTCCAGTCCGACACCCACACACAAGGAGCACTCATTTACTAAATACCGTGCAATGAGTCTCTTGCATATGCCACCTAGAATTGTTCCGCCTTGCTTTTCCAGTCGCGTCAAAGTCTTGCGGGACCAGAATCTACACCTTGTGTCTCTTAGCCATCCCAACCCCTGCTCCACCCTTGAGTCCACACCTGAGTGCTTGAGGGTGGGGCTACACTGGGCCTGAATATGAAAACTCACAGGAATTCCCAGACCCAAAAACTCACTGTCTCCCAAAAGGTAGACGCCTCTGCATCTACCTCTACCTCCACCCCTGTGTCTTCCCCCAGATTCACCCAATCACTTCCTCATTCCTCAGAATCACCCACTGTGTCTGGTTGCCCCACTCCATCCTGGATGCCACGAGCCAGACTCTGCCTCTGCTTTGGCAGACCTGACCACGGTCACGGAGTGATGTGGATCTAGTCCCCAAGCCTGGGGTATATAGAGCCTCATCAACCTACAGTGTCATGGGTATGAGCATGGGCTCTGGAGCCATACTGCCTATGTTCAAACTTCTGGTTTGCCCCCTGCTAGCTCTTCCATCTAAGGCCGCCTGCTTAATACCTCTGTAAATGGGGATGATATAAAATGGAGATAATACTGGTATGCACCTCATAGGGTTATTGTGGGAATCAAATGAGATATTATCAGCTTAATATGATGCCCGGACCATAGCAAGGGCTATGTCAATGTTGAAGAAGTAGCCCTGTGTAGAAGAGCAGCAACTTCACATCCCCTGCAAAGGGACCTTCACTGACACCTGATCCATTCCCAGCTCACCCGCCTGTGCTTCTCTTCCAGAGCTGGGCCTCCAGAAGAGAGGATGCTGTCTGGTGCTGGGCTACATGGCCAAGGACAAGTTTCGGAGAATGAATGAAGGTCAGTGAGAACCTGCCCACCCTCTTGGGGAGGCGAGGGAGGGGCGGGTGATGTGGAGGGTGGAAGCTATGCCCTGCAACTATGGTACCAAGAGAAAAACCCTGGGCCAGTGGACAGAGAAGTTTGATTTCCAGAAGCTATTTATATAGAAATGTGGGGCCTCTAGAGTAACTAATGCCTGAAACACGGTATGCCGATTCGTAAGCACGTCTCCTCACACTATCTTCCCTGCTCCCTTCGTGGCCTCTACTTCTCTTCCTCTCTCTTCCCTACCTTTGTTCCCCAACCACTCACCCAGCACAATTAAATCTGCTTCTATTATCTTTTTTTAATCCAGACCTCTTTACCTTTCTCTTCAATCCTTCACAGTTTTTGAATGCCTATTGAATAAATAGCCCCTTACAGGGCACTTGGGGAAATACTAAAGAATAAGGCAGTTTTTATTTTCAAAGAACTTATAGAGGGAAACCTGCCCTCTCTGCTGAGTCCACCGACCCTATCTCTCCCTCTCACTCCTGGGCCATTATACCTTCTTCTTGCTCTGGGTCTTTCCTCTGAGGCTTGACTGGGCCACAGAAGGCTACAGGAAGGTGTTGACATTGATGTGGAGGCAGAGAAGTAAAAGGAGCACTGTCACTTGTGGGCCTGCTGTAATAAAGAGCCAATCTCCTCATCCCCAATCATCTGTCTCCGTGCAGCTAATAACCCTCTCCATCAGATGCCACAGACTGTTTGTCAGGATTCAAGAGTAGATAAACAATAGCTGGGGATGCCATTTATTCATTAAATGAAGCCCTGGCTCCCCACCAGCCTGGCTTGCCATGAACTGGGCTCCTTGCTTCCCAAGGCCCGGAGCCCCTGTACCCTCACTTCCATCCAGGCATGGAGAAGGCAGCTCACCTGTACCACCAATATCCCCAAAGTTCTACTAAAGTTCTGATGCCCTCTTCTCATCACTCTTCAGCTGGCTCTTCTCCCAACCCACAGTCCATGACACTGATACCCCTTGGGCTCCCCACACCTAACACCTTGCCAGCTATAGGTTTGTTGCCAGCACCGATCATGGTGACAATTTGACAAGAGTTAGATCACCACAATGAACTACAAGGAGTATGTCCTCCTGCATTTTGCAACCCGTCTGCATGAGGAGGCAGGAGCATCAAAAGGCATTGGTCATTTGTAGGGATCCCATGGCTGAGCACAGCCAGGGTTAGGGGCTTCACTGCATCCTGCCAGGCGGCCTTCCTCCCTGACTTGTCTCTGCTCAGCCTACCTCCTCCCTTCCCCAACACCACCGTTGTGAGAGCGCTAGGCAGTAACTTCTAATTTGTAGGAACTGACAGGTCCCTCTGTCCGTAGTGCTGAATAGACACATTCTCTCGCTGGGCATTGCTCATTAGAGAAGCTGAAAATGAGGTTCATGGGGATTGGGAAGGCCAGAAAGTCGGGAGCCGGCCTGGATTTGCAACCTCAAGCTCCAAGGGTCTGACCCCAGTAGAAGGATACTGCCTCTGGATCCTGGTGCCTGGAAAGAATCATATCACAAGCCTGATGAACATGATTTGACACCACCACCACCCCCACCAACCTTTCACAGATGGCTAAGGGAGGGGTATCCTAGTCAGCTCAGGCTGCCGTAACAAAATACCTCAGACTGGATGGCTTACACAACAGGAATTTATTTCCTCACAGTTCTAGAGACTGGAAGTCCAAGGTCAGGGCACCAGCATGGTGATGTCCTGGTGAGAACTCTCTTTCCGCATTACAGATGGCCACCTTCTCACTGTGTCCTCACCTGGAGGAGAAAGAAAATAAGCAAGCTCTCTAGTGTCTCTTCTTATAAGGATGATCCCCCTATCAGATCAGGGCTCCACCCTTTTATGACCTCCTTTAACCTTAATTCCTTTTGTAAAGGCCTTATCTCAAAATATAGTCACATTGGGTGTTAGGGGGTTTAATATAGAAATGGGGTCTGAATGCATTTGACATAACAGAAAGTTGTGATGGTGATATTCTGAACCAGGGATTAAGAACACAGGAGGAAAAAGAGGAGAGGAGATATTGTTTAACTAAAGAGGGAAGGAAGGGGAGTCAGGGGAAACTACAGGAGCTCTTAGAACCAAGACCAGGGTCTGGTTACTTCTAAAGATTTTATATATTAATTCATGAGAGACACACAGAGAGAGGCAAAGACACAGGCAGAGGGAGAAACAGGCTCCATGCAGGGAGCCCGATGTGGGACTCGATTCCAGGACCCCAGGATCACACCTGGGCTGAAAGCAGATGCTCAACCACTGAGCCCCCCAGGCGTCCCAAGCTAAAACAGCATTTTAAAGAGGTTTTCCTTCCTAAAATGGAAAGATACCAAAACAATGCCTGTTCTCTCTGAGCCCCTTCTCCAAACACATACAACCCACACAAATGTGTTATTCCTTCCAACTGATTATGGTCGACGTGGTTAAGAATGAGTGATCCCAGCTGCCTTACCCCTTCTAGAATCCTCCCCCCTAGTGTAGACTAACTGGGAATAGAGCAAGGTATTCAGAAAGAAGTAGGGAACGGAGGCATTGGCAATAAGCCATGGGGTAACAGAGCAGCGAACTCCCCACCCCTCCCCTCCCCCTTTTGCATGTGGCTCTCACCCCTCCCAACCACCCCAATGCAGAGACTCTGGCACATACACACACACAGGAGCTGCTGCTGGGTAAACAAGGAGACGCAGGGGCGGCAAGCAAGCTAACCCACCACATTGGATGAGTTACGAAGCTCAACTAGCAAACAGGAGACCAGAGAGGAGGAGAGCAAGACAGTGGGGCTGAAGGAGAGATGCGTGTGGTGGGTTGGCTTTAGCTCTGGAGGGTGGAAAGCACAGGAAGCAAAGGGAAAGGAACCCCAGGGAGGGTTCCCCGGCTCCCACTCCAGCCAGTCGTGCAGCCCCAAATGCCACATTATACATGTGCTGCTCTCTCTCAAACGCACAAGCCCAAACTCCGGCACGTCTGAAGCTGAGAAAAGGCATCAGCATGGGGAGCTGTTTTATGGTTTATAATTATCTTGTACCCATATTCAAAATAATTATAACTTCCACATATTAATAATTGAACTGGAGTAGCAGCCATGGCATAGATCAAGAAACTGAAGTCTCTGTCCACGCTGCGCTATACACCTAGGCATATGTCGAACAATTGGTAAAATGGAAAAAAATAATTTTCTCCCAGATGCTGGAATTAGTGAGATATTGGAACAATTAGCTGCTTCTTCCATTAAAGATAAGGCAGTGATCATTATGTCTCCAATTTAGAATAAATATAAAAGACCTACTTGTTCCATTTTAAAGCGTATTTGTTCTGTTTAAGAGTATCTTATAGGGTGTCTGTCACCCGAGGAGAAGCGGTCCCCTATTTCATCCGCTTCCTTGTTAATTTGGGATATTTTTATTTCTTCCTTCCTCCTCCCTCCCCCTACTCCTTGTTACATTCCAACGAAATAACAGCTCGAGAAGGAGCAGGAGAAAAATAATGAATGAACAGGAGTTTTATAGATCTGGGGTTTATCATAAGCTAGAGTAATCGCAATTGGAGCCGTTAAACTTCACAAAGCAATAAAAAGAAAACACTATTCAAAAGGTCGTTTAAGGAGGCACGTGATAGTCAATGAGAGGTTTGCTCTATTCAGGAGGGCTTAATAGCTTCTCGGATAAAATCTGCAGCATTGGCAGGAATGGAGCTGGTGGGTAATGGGTGTGGGGGGTGTAGGGGGGGTGTTCTCCTGTTCGGACTCCACACATCCGAGGCATCACATAGAGCCACGACCAACAATCAATGAAGGGCAGACGAGAGAGGAAGAAATAAAGACAGACCAGGCAGAAGAATACCAGGCGTGTTTGACATAATTGTCTTCATGTGATTAAGTCCACGGTGCTTTAAATAGGAACTGCTGGAAGGAGATTATTTATTTATTCATCAAAAGTTCATTGAACACCTACTGTAAAAATAATACCAGTTTCCATAGTGAATGCCAGACAGGGTTCTAAGCACCGGAGCTTTCAGGGTAAATAAGACATAATCCCTACCCTTGAGGAGCCCACAGTTAGAACACCCGGGTACGGCTCCGTGCTACTGTCACCTCCGGGGAGAAATCCTGCCCGCCCGCCCTACCTCGTTAGATGCCCCCCCTCCCGCACCAGGATGCGCCAGCGTGGCACCCAGCCCATTCATTTCGGGGCGCTTCCTCTAACTGGTGATTACAGACTAGACTGCCTGCCCCATCTGAGAGGGAGCCTCCGGACGGCGGAGATGATGCTCCCTCCTTTCCTCGCCTCTCCCTGGGCCTTCGCCTGGTGTCTCATACATAAGGAGTAGTCAATCAATCTTAATTGAAGTAATTAATTAGTGCCCTGAGTGACAACAGCAGAATGCACGAAGTCATCCACAGGTGCAAGGTGGGTCTTGAGAAAGAACCGTCAGGCAGTGCACGCGGATGAGGAGCATCCCACAAACAAGTGTCCCCATCGTCAGCAATATTGCTCCATCTTAACCTCAGCGTCTCCTCCCCTGGAGGCCAGGACCCAGGTGGGTCAGCAGCGGGGGGGCACCCCACAGGTGGGTCTCCCTCCTTCCACAGCAGCGCTCCCCCCTCACCCCATCTCCTGCTGGGCCACGTTCCCCGGGCATCTCCAGACAGACCTGTCCCACTAGATGTACAAGGGGAACTGTTCCCCCTGTTTCCTCATCCCCCTCCCATCCTCACCGCCCCCCCCCCCGCCATACACACACGCCCCTCTATTCCCTTCCCTCTTCCTGACTCTCCTCAATTACCCAGTTTTCCTGGAGATCTGAGAACCACTCACCTTCTCCACGCACATCACCTGCCCAGGGCTGATACTCTCTACAGGTGGAATGGATAGCTCTCACGTGGTGTCTGGGGAGGGGCTCCCCCGGCCTTGAAAAGCTCCGGGTTCCTCTAGGTTAGAACTTAAACAACCCTTGAAGTTATAGCAC